ATAAGGAGGGGCATTCGTAACTAGAGGTACCACTGTACTGTTAATATGTATAAAGGTGTATAGGGAAGAAAAGTTTTTATAAGTTCAAAATATAAATTCCATTTTATTAAAGTTATAATTATCCAAACACAATAGTGCCTTTAGAAATTATTTGTTTCAAGAAAATGCACCAACTTAATTTTCATGCACAATGAAGTTTATGTAATCCCATTATCTTTAAAAGGATCTACTCTCTAACTTATTTTTTAGAGTTACAACCTTAAAAATGACTAAATACATTGGATTTATTCAGAACTAAAATATTCCAGTAAGAACTAAGGGTACAAACTACTTCAGTTTACTTTTATTAATCTAAAACCCACTTTAAAGCCTTAAGGAAAGAAACTATTTCCACTCAGGCAACATTAAAAACATTATATTCTTACCAAGCAACAAAAGCAAGTGTCCATTATTCCTATCAATTCAGGCAAGGATAAGTCTTTAACCTTAATGGTCCCATCCTTTAAAAGAGTAAGGGAAAAAATGAGTTTCCATTACTAATGAGTGAAAATAAAACAATGAGGAAATATTTCTAATCACTGTTGCAATGACCAGTTGGGACCAGTTATACAGCAGATGGCATCTATAGGGGAGACTTTCCTCAGCTTTGTCTATGTGCCATTTGCACCCAGTTTTGGGGCCGAGGGCTCCGGTCACAGTAATTCATGTCCTCATTACCTCCAGGTTGGGTTACTGCAAAACATTTGACTTGAGCCTGCCTTCAAAGATTCAGCAACTATAGCTACTGAAGAACATAGAAGCCCACTGCCTGACAGGTGAGAACTGTTTAAGCAACGCTGCAAACAAATCCTATATAGCTTGGGTCCAGGGTATCTTCAGAATCATGTTCAAGTAGAATCTGCCTGTTTTATGTACTCAACTTAGGAAGAGAGTTTCAGATTCCCACCCTCCGGGAAGTTAGAAGAGTAGGAGGAAGGAAACAAGACTCTTCTGTGGCTACCCCAGGTTTTTGGACTAGCTTGCCACCCAAGCCTAGATGGCTCCCTCGCCTCTCATATTTAGGAAGGTGACAAAAGCTATACTTCTTTGCCTAGCTTTCCAGATCTAATATTTTAGCAGGCTTTTCTAGTTTTTACTTAATTTTTAATTCACAGCACTCTTTATTATAGTAATTCAAATTTTAATAAAAGCTCTCATTGTTTTTCTTTTGAGAATACTGTAAACTACCTTGAGTCTATTTATTTTGCAGGATACAATTTATATAATAAATATAAATATTATCAGCCCTCAACAGAATTATTTGATTGGGTGTTTTTAAGATGATTATGATACAAGAAACAAATTGTTTAATTAGGATTGAGTTTCAATCTGCATGATTTGCTATAAATTAGCAAATCAACTCATAATTGTTCAGCAATAACTGCTACAATATACCTTAGTTTTTGTTCCTGAATTCTTAAATTGAACATGTTCTCAGAAGTGGCCTGTTTTTAAATTTTAATTGTTTGTCATTTGCCTACTATTCCAATTGATGGATCTTTGATCTAGTATTAGGAGGAAAAAGAAGGTCAACTTAAAGTCTGTCATCTCTTCCTTACACTCAATACAAGAAATTTCACATTTCTTAAAATATTTGCATTCATTCAACAATGAATTATTTTTATGACTCATTAAACAGTTGACACTAAAACCAACCTTGATAGCTTGTTCAAAGTTAAGAACTTTTCGATTAACTTGGTTTCCAATCATACCAGCATCCATCTTAGGATCCATCATTTCAATAGCAGACATGGCTTCAAACAGACCAAAGCTAAGGATGTTTAGAAAAGAGAAAAAACTAAGTTTGTATTAACAACTTAAACAATTTTTTTAATGCTTATAGAGTTTATAAATATCATGCAAACTTAAGTATCCATCTTAAAAAGTACATCCAGAATGTACTCTTAAGCAAGTAGAAATGGGGAATGTGAAAAATTACTAATGAATATAAGCCATTTTCAGTGAAAAACAAACAAATCTAAGTAAGTATGAGATGCAGAGCTTGAATATTATTTTCTTTTCCGTAATTTTCATCTTCATCTACTTTTACAATTTTTATAGTAAGAAACCAGAAAATCAGACCCAAATACATTATGGATTGCTAACACTGTGGTCAGCACCACATGCATACATTATATATTTAGCTAGTTTCAACATTGATCCAGTAGCATTTTGAAATGTACCTCCCTTCTATTTGTTACTGACCATACTCTTAATTTTGTGAGTACTAGAATATAGAGAGTGAGAGAAAAGTTGACTGATTATTCTACTTAGGGCAAATAATCTCTCTCTAAGCTCAACATTAAGCATACCTATCCACCTTCATTAAAAAATCATTTTTAATAGCACTAAATAGCACCCTGATTTGGATACAAATACAATAATACTTAGAAAAGACTCACTGAAATTAACTGGATAAGTTAGTCATGACTGAATTTAACAAAGTACGTTCATAATTCTTTCTGTAACTTCTAGCACGCATATCCTAAACCAAGAAGTACATTTTTCAATTCAACAAAAAACTCAACGCCATTAACACCAATGATAACTGCCAGTGTTGCCTCAACAAGGATTCATATGAAAATCTAATGCCGACTAGTTCAATGAAATCTGTATACTACTAAAACTCTCATTGCATTTGTCTGTTTGTACCCTCAAGTTAGCCCAAACAGTGCATTATACTGCAACCATTTTTGAATCAAGGTACCTTACTTCTCCTTACTATATTCAACAGCCCAGTATCAGTAGTAGAGTCCTTCAAGTTCTTGGGCTCTATAATCTCCCAAGACCTGAAGTGGACGCTTAACATCAGAACCATCATCAAAAAGGCACAACAAAGGAAGTTCTTCCTGCGTCAACTTAGGAAGTTTAAATTACCTCAGGAGCTTTTGGTACAGTTTTACAGAGGAACCATTGAGTCTGTTATCTGTTCCTCTATAACTGTCTGGTTCGACTCAGTAACCGAACAGGACAGATACAGACTCCAACAGATAGTTAAGTCTGCAGAAAGAATAATTGCAATCCGCCTGCCTTCTATAGAGGATCTGTATACTGTGAGGGTCAAAAGGAGGGCAGAGAAGATATCTGCAGATCCTTCTCATC